TAATGTATCTTATTTTAAGTATGTTTAGATATTTATACTGGAAAACCAGACATAAACAATGATAAAGAATTATATTTTTAATCTAAGGGTAAATTGGCCTTCAAAGCCAAGGAGCCAAGGAGACAAAACATCAAAGTTCTCCTCTAATATCCAAAATGGTTTTCCTGGTGGACAGCATGCTGGTCCAACAGGTAGATCTGGACCAGATTATAACTAACCAGCATAAACCAACTTCTACTGCACCAATTTGGAAATTCATGCTGGTCTTTGAGCAGTAAAATCTCCTTGTAATCTGTGTCCAGCTTTATTCATCCTAATACTTTTGCCAAACATTTATTAATGTCCTGTTTAAGAAAACCAAGAGCAAGAACATCATAGTATGATTTTGAAAAGTGGCATGGCTCCAGCTCAGTGAGCAGCAGAGCAGCACGGTGTGTCCCTACGCTTGCGTTCGTGCTGTCTTGCTGTGAGTCTTTGTTCTAAAATGAAACACCTCTCATTCCACACGGTGAAGGAACGGCAGCCCCCACCCTGCTGTGTCCTCACACACACAATTGTCCCCGTATAAGGTATATTCTCCATGGCAATGAGCCCCCCGTCAGTGGGTGGGCGGCAGATGCTGTGCCTCACTGGTGAGAGCAGATACATGTCTATGGACATGTGTGATCCAGGCATTATGAGCCCGGTGCATTTATCCATCCCGGCTTTAGCGGGCTGCTCATTTGAAACATGAGCATGACTTCTTTTCTGAGGGTATTAGGGCTAATCCCTCGCCTGCATTTTCCTACATTCATATTCAGAGGATGAGGTGAGGATCAAAGTGATTGGCCTCATTCAGTGTGTTTAAACTTGGAAAAAAAAAGAGATGTCATTTCTGAGTATTAAGACATTAAGTATTAAGTATTAAGTATGTTTCTCTGAAATTTGGAAAATATTTAAATGGGATGATATTGTTTTGATGTTCAAAGTTTTCAGAGAATTATGTTTTTAGAGTTTTTACCTGATGGTATGGTTCATTTTTGTGGCCTATGGCATGACACTAACCCACATATTTTCTCATTAGAATATTAAAGGAATAATTAACCCCCCAAAAATGAAGATTCTATAATAATTTTCTCTCATGCGATTCCAAAGTGATTTGTAAGTGTAATGTAATAAAGGTAATGTAATTTATTAATTATTTGTCATTTATAATGTAAATTATAATATATTATAATTGTTTATACTTATTTATTTTTTTTATATTAATTTTCTTTGTGTGTGTATATATATATATATATATATATATATACATACATATGTGTATAGATAGATAGATAGATTTTATTTCTTTTATTTTATTTGTATTTTATTTTATTCAAATGTTATCATTTTTTTCCTCAGAAGAAAGAAAGTCATGTGTGTTTGGAACAACATGAGGGTGAGTAAGTGCTGTGAAGATTCTATAGTTGATTTGTACTCACTATTCTCCTCACAAACAAGTCAGCTAAGAGTGAAAAATATTAGCCGAAGCTCACAAACACAAATGAACACTTTTGACTGATGCTGCAGTCATGATGTCTTGTTCATCTGTCAGTCAATCAGCAGTGCTTTTGCCTCCGTCAGTTCGAGGCCACAGTTGGCCACAACGCCAATCTGCAATCTATATAATTTTTTTCTCACCTGTTATTTTAAAACAAAATAACTCACACTTCAAACGGTGCTGTCGTCTGCTTCCTTAGTTGGAGTCCGTCATTTGTCTCCCTCTGACAGGAGCTGAAGAAAAGCCAGAAAGAGAACCAGGCAGCTTTAGAAGCCAGTCAGGCATAGCCACAGGGTACCCTTGTTCAATTCGTCGCAATATATCGGCAAAGTGCAGCATCTCAGATGCCCGTCCATATTTTATTCAGAGTGCAGCTTTTGTGAGGGGATTGTGTCTAATACTCGCTGATCCAGGGGAACCTGAGACGTTTCTGAGAGATTAGAGATGCACATTAGAAATGAGCAGCCCGGCTGATGTCTTGCAGCTGCAGTGCCAAGTTGGTGATAATGGTAAAATATTGAAACGGGGCAGTGCAGCTTGTTAGACCCCACAGTTCAGGTCTGCTGGGAGTGACGGCTGGGATGTGTCATGCAAAAAGTGAATCGAAAATTCATTTCATCAGGGGTCTGACTTTGTTTTGCTTTGTGCTAAACACTTGGCACTTTGTGAGCTTAAAAATAGTAGGTGAGACCGGCGTTGGCTTGCACATTTTTTTGTAACCCAACCAGGTGCAAATGAAAGTTTAAGTGTTTATGTAAAGCATACACAAAAGAGAATAAATTTGTTAATAATGACAAAAGTTGTTCAGTTGTGCAAACAAACCCCTAAATGGCCTTGTCTGGCACAACTTGTGTGTAATCAGTATTTTTTATAATTAGTACAAATATTTAAAATGTTATTAAATGTAAATATATCTGTATTTATAATATATAAATATTTAAAAAAATATATAATTAATAAAAATGATTTTATTTACTTTGACATTATTTACATATTTTTATGAGTAAATAATAATAATTAATAATTTATGCATTTAGCAGACACTTTTATCAAAAGCGACTTACAGTGCATTCAGGCTATACATTTTTTACCAGTATGTGTGTTCCCTGGGAATTGAACCCACGACGTTTTGGAACACTACATACAGAAACAATGTATCATAAAGTATTGTTTACTTATAATTTTACAATTATATACAATTATGATTATTATTTATTGCCAATAATTGTTTATATAATTGTTTTAAGCCTTTTAAATGAATTAAATAACCACTAGGGAAACTTTTTATGGTTTTTATGGTTAACTTTTTATGATTTTTCTTTTACTCATTTGTGCTAAACAACAACAAGACCAATGTAGTAACGATTCCCTCTCACACTCTTTTCATAAATTTTGTTTGTCAGGTTGTATAATTTATCCCAGGCTCCAAAACGTATGTGCATAATAAAACTATTTACTGAAGAGACGTAACACAAAGCCAAACTAACATAGTGTCCGTAGTGTCCTGGCAGAATTATACTACCAATCATGCCATTTTCTGTTCTGCATATTTTTTTTAGACTTTAAAAAGACACTGACAGTTTGAGCAACGTTCACTGAAGTATCAGAAACCAGTCGTCATAGCAGCTTCATTTTAACAACATTTCAAGGAAATTGTTTTTGAATTGACACTTTTCAATTGTAATTTATTGTCAAAGGTTTTGTTCTTTCACCTCATTGATCATTATTCCAGCTCTCTGCAGGTACTGACTTGAAGTTTCAACAAAATATGTCTCTCTGGCAAACGAAACTCACGCTGTCAGGATGCAAGTTCCTGTGAAATCCATCACTTTTTGGCGTTCCCGGAGTCCGTGAAGTGGTGTAAATCCTGCTCTTGGCATGAGGCAGTAACATCTATGTTTATGACTCTTGATTCAGGTCGAGCCATTAAGCATGTGAAGGAGGCCATCTTTGCTGAGGACGTGGGTGCAAGAAGGGGCATTCCTAAAGTGTTGGTAGTGCTCACAGACGGGCGATCTCAGGATGATGTCAACAAGATCTCTAAGGAGATGCAGATGGAGGGTGAGTGAGCTGAATGTTCCAATTGCATTTTCACTTTGTATGAATCTAAAAACGAGCGTAATAAACAACAGCTTCAGAGAAACACCAACTGTCTAGTGGTTTGGTTGTTTCTGTTAAAAATAGAACTTTAAATGCTGTAATAAAAGTAATGTTTTCTTGTTTCACCGTAGGCTACATCATCTTTGCCATTGGCTTCGCTGATGCTGACTATGGGGAGCTGGTGAACATTGCCAGCAAACCCAGCGAGAGACATGTGTTCTTTGTGGATGATCTGGATGCCTTCAAGAAAATTGAAGAACAGCTCATAACTTTTGTTTGTGAGGCTGCGACTGCCAGTACGTCCCTTTGAGAATCCACACAATCTTCCTCTTGCAGTGACATGTGGTATAGAACTTGCTTTTAAACAATATGCTTAGACATGCTACACAATAAGAATATTAAGGATGCCAATTTTCACTGAAGATTTTTATTAAGTGACATTCTTCTGCTAGAAGATAAAGTCCCTGACTTAACAGAACGTTGCTATGCAACTGAATGGATCATACTGTACTGTGTCTGCATTTGAGAACAGCTTGGATGCTGTATTGACCAATCAGAAACCAGAACTATGTCTTTTACAATTAATGTTACACTTTCAAGACATTCTGATGTGTTTGAAACACTCATTTCCAATAATTAGTGTTTACTATCATGTATCATGTTTGCTATCTATATATCATATTAATAATGATAAGTCAAGTCAATAAATACAGTTTAAGACCAATCAAATTATAAACTGAAGGTGTTGAATCAAAGTATTTCTGGCTTGTAGCTGGACAGACTTCAACATTAAGTCATTGCATTCAACCGTCCCAGTTTTGAGAGTTCCCACATCTCAGAATCCACAATCAATATATAGAAACAAGTCAAAGCACATTTTTTTCTTTGTCGATAATATGTTACACCCGAATGTGTCACAGTATGGAAGAAAAGATATGTCGCTACTTTGTTTCATTGCGACTTTAAGATTAATTATACTGTCAAAAAAAATAAATAAATACAAAATCAGAGGTTGATGGAGTAGCAGTAACAAATGGCTTTTAAAACAGTGAAATAAGGTTGCTATCTCAGTATGTGACAATGTTGTGTATAACATTAATTAATTACATTATTACACAACCCTCTGGAATACTCTGATTGGCCAAATATATTTTAATTAATGACCACTAAACAATGCGATTGACCAGTGACCTTGGCATGTTTGCAAGTGTACTTTGTCTCAGAGGAAAATGGGATTGACTTGTGATATTTTTAAGGGATGAATAAAGTGTGACGCCTTTTTAGATTGCAGGGTAATCACTTTTGGATTACTTCTTTACTTTGAATAAGTTCTTGCTCTTCTGTTCTCTGAAATCATCCCTTGAGACTCAAACTTATGTCAAGTCTAAAATACAAGTTTGAAAACTATTGCTGTTAAAATGGTCTCTGAACAGAAACAAATATTTGAATGCATCATATAATTTCCAAAAATCACTTTGTTCTTGTGGAATTAATAGTTTTTCTTTTTATTCTTTTATAGCTTGCCCCTCGATGTTGATGAGCGGAAACACTTTAGCTGGTAAGACAACAATAAATGCTCCTGGTTCACACAAACCTCTACATCATTGTGCTGGGTAGGAGGATAGAATCTAAGGATTTTATTTGAAGAATTAGATCTATTCATCCACTGTCAGTATTTAACAACCCCTTTACTTAATTAGGACCAGTGGGTCATGTTATTCACACCATAATCTAGATCTGGAAGAAAGAAAAAAGCACACTTAATTTTCCTCTTCACCCAGCCTGTCTTTCACTGGATGGACAAACATACCCACCCCCAAACTCACTCTGTTGGTTGAGCTGTTGTTGCTGTTTCAAAAAAACTTTTTGCCATAGCTACTGTTTACACTTTTCAGGGAAATTATAAGCTTAAAAACAGACAATTTATATTATAAATATTTTTTTTTATTTTGTATGATATAATAATATATTCGTATTTAACATATTTGTAATGTTTATAATCTAATATATAATGTAAAATGTTAATCTGCCATAGGAAAGTCTTTAACATAGAAAACCAGACTTTAAGACAAAAAATGCAGGTCACTGAATTAATCACTCTTTTTAATTATTTTTTTTTAAATGTATTAATTTACTTACATTTGATGTACATTAGTGTTAATTTTGTTAACGAAGACGATGACGAAAAATGTTAGTTGATGAGCTTTTTTCCCATGACTAAGACGAGACAAAGACGAGATGATAATAAGGTCAATAAACCATAACTATGACTATATCAACATGCAATTTCGTTGACGAAATAAGACGAGACTAAAATGTATTCAAAAAAATTAAAACTTTACCAAAAACAAAAAAAGGAAACAAAATGTTATTGCGGACTGCTCTACACGCCTCTACTACGAGAGCTTTCATGAGTGCGGTTGCCAGATATCAAGTGTTCTAATCCCCGAATCAGAGCTTCGCTGTTATAAGGATACATTTTCTGCCCGGTGTTTTGCTTATTTTAAGCAATCTGGCAACCATGCGCACGCGCTCACTCCTCATTGCGGAAGCGCTGCCGACGATGATCTGAGAACAGCGACAAACAAGCTGGACTTTAGCGATCTAAATGAAAGCGTCATTCAGCCGGTCTGTGTTCTGTCATGAGAGCTCGACTGTATTGTTTGCGATTGTGATTGCTGAATAAATGCACTTACTCAACCGCTGTTGTTTCAATAGAGAAATATACGGTGGCCGAGAAGTGCAAAGCAAATCACAATTCTGAAAACAAAATAACAAATTACAAACGCAAATGCAAGTCTAAAAAACAAAATAACAATTCAGAAAGCACAACAACAATTCAGAAAACATTATAACAAGTCAGAAAACACAATGACAAATTGTCGTTAGCTTTTTGACACAATCGACCCGGGTTCGAACCCGCCTTTTGACAAACTTTTTTTTCCTCCCTTTTCAAATCTCGTATCACATCGGAAAGGCATTTATTTTCAATAAAAATTAAGGAAATAATCAAAAAGTTGAAAATAAAGTATCGGGTAGGGTTAGGGTAGGTGTAGGGAGGGCTTTATTGTACCAATAAGGTGGCATCCATTTAATAATTAAAATTAAAATTATAATTTACACTCAATACGTTATTATTGCATACTGTTTTATAATGTACTACAATACCGAAGTGCAGATAATTGCCACTATTTGCAACAAGTAGTATACATAGAAATCCTGCTATTTTAACATAGTGTAAATAGGTATTTGCACTTAGTGTAAATAGCATATTGCTAAAAAATACTGCTATTTTCACTTAGTGTAAAAAGAATCCATTGCTAATACGAGATTTGAAAAGGGAGAAAAAAAAGTTCGGCAAAAGGCAGGATCGAACCAAGGTCGATCGCGTCAAAAAGCCGACGACACGCGCTTATCCATCTGCGCCACTGGAGCTAATGATTGACAGCCACTTTTAACTAAATGTAAAGAGACACCCCGTATTTTTTATTCCAGAGTAAAGGCAATTCATACAATACATTTAAACCGAGCTACTTTAATACCATCTCCGAACCTTCTACCACGACTCTGCTGTTCTTCGGCTGGTTCTTCCCTGTATACGTTGATTGACAGATGTATCGTCCAGTCAGCGGTGAGTAATCCCAAACCAATGGCGCTGTCTCAAACTATACCTACCTTTTCCGGTTTGTCTGATTTGTCGTTGTGTTTTCTGACTTGTTAATTTGTTTTCGGATTTGTAGTTGTGTTTTCTGACTTGTTATTTTGTTTTCGAATTTGTCATTGTGTTTTCTGACTTGTTATAATGTTTTCTGAATTGTTGTTGTGCTTTCTGAATTGCTATTTTGTTTTTTAGACTTGCATTTGCGTTTGTAATTTGTTATTTTGATTTCAGAATTGTGATTTGCTTTGCACTTCTCGGCCACCGTAAAAATCACCTTAAAAAGGGGCTCAAACTTAAACACGCATTTAAATAGTTGTAAACGGTTACTTGCATTGGCTTCGATTGCTGAACAAGATTCCTGATGCGGTA